CCCAACAAAGGAAACATGGTGGATATTCAGAGACATGCTTTGTGCAGATTTGACCATAACTTCTTGGATTTTAAGTAGGAGCTGATGAGTTTTGAACCTTTTGGTTCATACTTTAGTGCCTTAAATTTAAAAAAATTAAAAAAAGGGGGAAGGGTATGTGGAGGCTTGCACAACTTTTTTCCCTCTCTTTGAAACTTCACCAACTGTACTAAGTTATTGGTGGATTTTGGGTTGCCTTCCTAAATATGTAATAAGCTGAATCTTTAACGTTGATGCACAACGAGTAGCGGAGAGAGAATTAATGTCGAGCAACGCAACACTTCATGAAATCAGTTAGGCCATAAAAGCCATTTTACCCATGTGGTGTACAAGTCTTCTAATAAATGCAGTGTGGAGTTCACCAAGCAGTTGGACTATTGAAAAGTGGAAGAAGAGAGATGCAAACGGGAGACATTAACTAGTGAAATCATCTAACGTTTTGCTCTCATCTTTTCAATCCGGCAACAAGAAATATGTACGAAGAGAAGTCATGTGGAGTAATGAAGTGTAGCCTAAGATTTCTAATTCTATTGCAGCATCGACTTATGTCGATACCACCAGATTACTGATTCTTCCTGATGCATTGAACTTTCTCCTCCTCTTTGTCCCGTGATCTCTTTGGGTGTGCATGGAGCTTTACACTTTCATTAAATGGTTTTATACTAATGCACTGACGTGTTGGTGTATTTTTGTTCTAGGACTATTACATGAAATGCTTGGATCTTCAGGTTCAGGAGATTCAAGATCTTCATGGAAGGTATGTTAAAAGGAGGGATTTGTTACATGAAATCAGTTTGTTAAATTTTATTTGTTATCTTTGAAACAATTATATTCTCTTTATATTTCATAGTCTTAAATACTTATTCGCAGATCTTATCTCTTGTCTAGGGAAAGCTATTATTTTGTTATGTTGTGTTGTGAGCCCTACCAGCTTCAATTTGGTTTACCTTGTGCATGAAGTGCTTCCCAGCTAGTGGGGTTAGGGGGAGAGTGGTGTATACCGTATGCAACCTTCTCCTTACATTTTTGCAAATAGGTTGTTTCCACTGCTTGAACTGTGAATCAGAGGAGAAACTCTACCATTGTGCCAAGACTCGCTTGCTATGCTGTCAACACAAACTTCTAAAATATGTCTTGTTTACCCATGTTATCAAGTTTTGAAATACATGGTTTGTAATAATTTATCTTACCCAATACAACTTGATTAATTTGACGTGAATACTCTAACTTGTCATCTGAGTCATTTGACAATTGCTTGATCATGTATCGGAGCAAAGTTTCCTGTTGAGCATGTCAATAGTCAAAGTGTGCATGATCAATTTGTGTCTGTTGACAAATACTTTTTATGGTATCCGATGACTTTCAAAGCTATTACATTACTTCTTATCAAGATTAAGCATCAAGTATATTTAGACGTGTTTTTCTTCATATTGGTCTCAAACTCTTTTAAGCCATTCCTAGATATGACATTAAATGTGTGAACTTGAAGTAAAATAAAAAATAGCATGTAGAGTCATGATTGACTGTCTAATAACATGGGCATGCGTCTTAAGGAAAGGAGACTGCTTATTAGCTTAGATGGCATAGCTTGGCACTTGTACTGTAAGCTAAGAACCTCCCCTTCTCCACAAGGTAGGGGTAAGGTCTGCATATACACTACCCTCCCAAACCTCACTTGTGGGAGTACACTGGGTATATTGTTCTTGTTGTTACTGTATCTTTTGTAATAACCATTGACATTTCTAAATAGATTTACTGTTTAGAGATAAAAAAGCGGGGGCAATACACATTGTAAATTTTACAGCAAATACAAAATAATCATTAGATAATCTACGACGTATCGTTAACACAATACTTCAAAATAATTTTCATACAGAAATATCATTGTATTATTGCCCACGTTTCAGTTGTTAATTTTAAACTAGATTACATTGTCTAAATATATTTATAATTTTCAATTACTAATATGGGGAGAAGTTGAGGTATTCAAAAAAAGTATGATCAAACGAATGAGCTTCCCTGTTGTTGCAACATCCTGCTACTGTCAAATAAATACTATACAAAACAGTGCATCGAAGAGGGGATTTAGGAATGATGTCTTCAGTGGAGGATTGAGTGAATCAACTAACATTGTTATTTGTTTCTGGTGACAACAATTTGAATTGGAGACAGTAAAATTTTGAGTTACAGGCTGCACTTGAAACTATGCCTTTTGCTGTCATGCTCTAAGACTTTTCAACACCATGCACAACCTTCACTTCCTTGTTGCTAGGTTGACTGAATTCCTTCTCATGTCTATGGTGCTTTGTATACATCTAATTATATGATGATGCCAATTTATATCTTTTTGACGTATCTGCTCAACGTATATCTTTTCATATCATGATTGTTATTTAACATTAAACTATAGCTATTTGGTACATGTTCTGTGGAAGACTGTTCTGTTGATTTAAACTTGAGCGCGTTGGGAAATTGCCCTTTTTTGGAACTTATTCTCTGCTGAACTGCTTTTATGCAGGTTCTTATCATGGATAAAGTAACGGTAAAAGTAATGTCTTCCACATGCAAAATGGCTGATATCACAGACCAAGGAGTTTCATGTGAGCTTCGCATATAATGAATTTTTTAGTTTGTCTGCGTCATTGTAGTTCTAGTTGACAAATCTACCCTCACAAAATTATCAAACCCCTTCGACAACCAAGAATAAAGAGCATATTTCAATGAGAAGTGAGTGCTGACTAGTTTCATTAGGTTATGTTTCCGCTTATAAATTTCTATGGAGAAAATAAAATGTTTTTGGCCCCACACAAGTTAAGACTCTGTGATCTCTAGTTCTGTTCAGTCACATAAGTCTTATTGAATTTGTCACCAAACCCTGGTGCAATGAGTCCCAAAGCCCGATGTAATCATTAGTTGTTAGTTCTTGAAAATTTCCTGATTCATTATGTGTATTTATTATGACAGTGGTGGAAGATCTTTTTAGAAGAAGGCAACCTTTACCAACAATGGATGCTATATACTTCATCCAGCCGTCAAAGGAGAAGTATGATCTTTTTTTCAACACCCCTTCTCTACATAATCATCTCTGCTTGATTTTGTACACAAAGCATGAGAACTGTGTATTTCCTTCATACATGATCTTTAATGTTCTATTCTTCACCTCCATTGCCCCTCACCCTTACCTTCAAATTACCATATGATTGTACCCATTTCCAAAATTTTCTGCTCATCATCTGTGCAGTCATAATTTTGAATTTCATATCTTGATTAACCTTTATTGGATAAGAGCAAAGCTGGTTTGCATTTAGAAACATCGGGTCAGTTAATTCAGTGATTCTTGTCCAAAACATCGGGTTCCTTTTCCTTCTGCAGCACTTAAAAAAATGAGAACTAACCTTTAAATTTTGAATTTGCAGCGTTGTCATGTTCTTGTCCGATATGTCAGGAAGAGAACCTTTATACAGGAAGTATGTGACAGGATCTCGTTCTCTAGAAAATCTAGTGCACCGCACTTGGTTTAATGAAAGTGAATCATCTGGTTCTTGTCATCTTACTTCTATTATTTCCCTATTTTCTTCAGAGCATATGTATACTTCAGTTCCCCAATACCTAAGGACCTGGTTGCCCGCATCAAGAATGACACAAGTGTAATACCCCGTATAGGTGCATTAGGAGAGGTAATAATCATGTGTCTCTGTCTACAATACTGCGCGCATCATGTAATTGATATCTTCACAAGTTTGACTGAATCTTCTTTTTCATTTTTTTTCTTTTCCTTTTTTGCACAATGCAGATGAATTTGGAGTACTTCCCAATAGACAGCCAGGTACTTCGGCAAATATTTCGACAAACAATTTCTCGCCTTACTTGGAGCATTTAGTTCAATATCTGTCTTTAAACTGGGACATTAGAAGAATTTTACAATTTTGATGAGTGAAAAATGATGCAGCAGATATGAAATGAACCTGGATCGATAGAAACGGACATAGAAGATTCACATAGCCGACCCCAACTAATTGGAATTGAGTAGTTGATCTGTTGATTGATGTAAGAATTTTGTAGATTGCAACTTTATTAATATGTCAGCTTTTATCACAGGGATTTGTCACTGACCATGAAAGAGCACTTGAAGAGTTGTTTGGTGAAAGTGCTCAAAATTCCCGGCGTACTGATGCTTGCTTGAATGTAATGGCCACAAGAATTGCCACTGTTTTTGCTTCACTGAAGGTAATTTTAAGCTTCACAAATGTGTGACTTGCTCTTTCATCTGAAGTTTTATGTAAAATGTACAAACCAAAAGACTACTGGTACTAGCTTTTTATCAGTTTATGTTACCATTATTCTGTCAAAAAGAATTTGTTGATAAAGTTGGTACAGTTGTGACTGCTCTTTAGGTAAAGTAAAGAAACTTTGGAGGTATAAAAGATGTTGCATTTTCATATATGTCTTCGAGTTCTGTATATCTTCCACTTACAGTTCCCAGTGACCAACTTAGTTTGGCTAAACCTCTGTCTTTACATCCAGGAATTTCCTTTTGTGCGTTATCGAGCTCCCAAGGGACGTGATGCATCAACAACAAATTTCCGTGAATTAGTTCCTGAAAAGCTCGCTACAGCTATATGGAACAATATCACTATGTATCGGTCTAGTATTCCTAATTTTCCGCAGAAGGAGACATGTGAATTACTGATTCTGGACAGATCTGTTGACCAGGTTTTGAAATGATTTTGTTGATAAATATCAGTCAGCCCGGTCTTTTTTCATTATTATTAATATAACGACAAATCTTCTTGTTTAGATTGCTCCTGTGATTCATGAATGGACATACGATGCCATGTGTCATGACCTGCTTGATATGGATGGAAATAAATACGTACATGAGGTACGCATTGCTGCATGTTCTGGATCTCTTATATCAAGATTTTCCTGGTATTTGATCGAAATGTATCTCACATCAGGTTCCTAGCAAATCAGGTGGTCCACCTGAGAAGAAGGAAGTTCTTTTGGAAGATCAGGATCCTGTTTGGTTGGAGCTACGGCATACTCATATAGCTGATGTAAGTTTTAAGAATTTCCTTATTCCTTTGATGCTTGTGAGTGTCATATGTTACTTCTGCTCCTAACTTAAAGACTTTACCAGGCTAGTGAACGACTCCACGACAGGTTTACAAACTTCGTTTCTAAGAACAAAGCAGCACAGATGGAGCAGAGGTTGGTGTTTTAGCTGTAAATGATAAAATTTTATTCCTTTGGTAAATTTGTGAGGGACCTGTAACATAATAGTTATAGTACGTACTGTGCTCCATGTCTGTGGATGATGCATCATTCAGTAACTTGTAGTAAGTTCAGCATGAGATGTTGTTCTGAGACTTAATAAGTATCAAGAGGTTGAGGGACTCTGCCAAGTTTCTCAATCTCAAAAGTAGCTTATTTCAGCAGTTTCTTATTTTCATATTTTGCTGATTAGCATGTTATGTGCCTGAAACCTTTGACTATATGCTATCATGATATTTCTCATGTTACTATGGACCAATAATTTTAAGAAGCGCATAGCATCAAATAATCATTCACCACTGAATCTAGGCATGGTATAATTCTAAGCTAACACTCTATTCTTAGGGTTGTCTGTTAACTGGCAGATAACAAGCATGGAAAACTTGTCTGATCAGAGAGCCATTGACGACAGAGACTTGAGCTTGAAATTATAGCTTTTGCTTTTCATACACATCTTTTAGATAGCACATTAGTTGTTTACTTCATTTCAGAAACAGTTGCACTCTATATGTGTGTGTACTTTTAGATTTTTTTTTTTTTTGAGGTATTCATTTACTTGTAAATTCAACTGGAATAATTGGAATGCAGTGAAGAGGCCAAGGTAATTAATCTAGAGCGTCTTATAATTGTTTTAATTGTGACCAATTGATCATAGCTGTGATTTATTAGCTATAAGATGAGTAGATGTACGAAATTTTATTCATGATACTTCCATTTTTCTGATAATCACTCAACTCGTATCTACTTTTACATAGAGATGGAGGTGAATTATCTACACGAGACTTGCAGAAGATGGTCCAAGCTTTGCCACAGTATAATGAACAAAAGGAGAGACTCTCTATCCATGTTGAGGTTTGTTCCTTTGTACTGGATCCATGTGCAAACTTATTCCTCTCTTTCAAAGAGCAAACTTAACCGTTTTCGCCCTTCTTCACAACTAGTTATTATGGAGTAATACTTAATAATTCTAAATGCAAGTAAATCGTACTTGAATAGAGACCGACTGTAAGAAATTAGACATTGACGTACTTTTGAATGTACAACTCTTAGGAGCTAGTTTCATTGGTTTAGGTTTGTATTCTAAATTTGTATAATCCCCAACAACACACCAGCTACTTCTCGACTCCATCGGCAGTAAACTAGAGCTTATGAGGATGGTCATTATCTTATTTGAATACAAAATCTACTGAGGTGTTTAAGAGACATAACAGCCTCAATGCCATTGGTCTTACCGATGTTGAATTCCGTATAGGTATTCTTTGTTTATTTAGGAACAACTGAATTTTGACTGTGATGAACCTTGCCTGCAATAAAATGCTGGAGTTTATTTCATTGCTTGATTGATCAGATTGCAGGTGAGCTTAATAAAGTTATCAAAGAAACGGGTCTTCGGGAACTTGGACAGCTGGAGCAGGATCTTGTCTTTGGCGATGCAGGAACGAAGGAAATGATCCATTTTCTAAGGACGAAGCAGGTGATAATGTTTATGCTGGCTCAGAATACAAGTATTCAAACTCATTGTAATTTCCACTTCCAGGCATGGTCTTTGTAATAACTTCGCAGCATGTAGGATACTGCAGGTGAAAATAAATTACGCTTGATGATGATTTATGCATCTGTTTATCCAGAAAAATTTGAGGGCGACAAAGCAGCAAAACTGATGCAGGTATTTCATGCATGCTTATTTCTTAAAACAGTCTTATTCCCGTCTCTAGCATATCATTGAACTTTTGTTCCAACGATCTAATGGTGGATTTGCATGCCTGTATTATATGGACACGTAATAAAACAATTGGGGATTAGCAGTTCATGCTGTTGCTTTAAGGGAAGAAAGAATCTTCTGAAGAGAAGTGGAATGGTTTCGGTAATCCATTGAGAAAGATGATGCCCAGAAATCACTAAAGAAGCCATAAGTGTCGGAAGAATATGATATAGGACGTCACAAACAATAAATTTTTCCAAGTTAAAATGTTGGGATTTCTACGCGGTGTTCCAAATAATACAATAAAAAAAAGAAAAAGAAAAAAAAACTAAGAAAAAGTTGTTCTTATGAGCAATAATGCAATCGGCTTAAGAGAGATCAGGTTTCTGTTTTGACCTTTCGCATCGTTTTTTCAATCAGATTACAATTATAATGTGTCACTGAATGTAGTTTAGGAATTGTGAAAAGAGTAGGTCCAAGAAAAGTTCTAATTTATGGAACAATTTTACCATATGAGTTATCTCCTTTTAGATCAATGCTCTCAGGAATTTCCTGGCCTCCTTGGATAATATTTTGAGAATGAACCATTTGAGAAAAAAGTTCTCAACCAGATGTTTTTATGCCATAAGAAAATATTGTTGGTCAAGTTACATTTTCATGCACAAGGGTAATTCATCTCTCATCCATTTATCCATATTCTAGTCCTAGAATCAACTTTTAAAGTTGTAATTCATTGTCTCAAATGCATGGATATACTTTATATTGGTTCATCTGTACAGCAAATTGAAGCTAAGGAACCTTTGAAAGTTTTAATATAGATACTTTTTTTTCTCTTAGTTAGCAAAACTGTCACCTGAGGATATGAAGGCTGTGAAAAATATGAGAATGCTAGAGGGTTCAGAAAAACGGAAGGCGTCAAGTGGAAGCTTCTCCCTGAAGTTTGATTCACAAAAGGTAAACATTAAAACTTCCCTGGAGACTTCAGCTCATTATGCTAAAATGAGACCTGACAGTTGCTAGAATTTGTTGCTTGCATATTAGAAAGGGAAAGCAGCTAGACAGGATCGAACTGGAGAGGAAGAAACATGGCAGTTATTTCGATTTTATCCCGTGATAGAGGTTCGTTTTAAGACTTCCTAATCCTCCTTGAATTTAATTTTGCAGAAGTTAACTGACAAGATATTTTCATCTTTAGTTTAGTGCTTTAAGATTGTTAGTGTAAGAGTGTTGCAGTTTCTGCTGCCAGCTGTGATTAATCTAGATTAAGTTGACTTTTAGTGTTGGAACAGGAAACTAATGGTTGACTTGTGACCAGATAGGTTTTAACTTCAAATTTCTACATGAACTGTAGAATTTAAGTCCTAATTGACTGACTTAATCCACGGAAAATATTAGAGGGTAATTTGACTGGAAGATCTTATTTATGCGCCCAATAGAAGATACCTTCCCAGTACTTTATTTAAAATGGAATTTGCTTAAGGACCAATTTACCTTAATACCACTGGAGGGTTCTAAATTATATTCCAGAAACTTCCATACTTGGAATCGCAAGGTCCAATTGACCTCACCTTTCTTATTGGAACTCTATTTTAGAGTTTGGGAACTACAATGCTTAGAAAGCGGGCATGATGCTTTCACAAAAGATGCTTTTTAAACTGCCATTGTGCGACAGCGGATACATTCAGCTTCCATTAGTTTCCAACTTTCTGAATGCTTTAATGTTTAATCAAATAGCTCTTCAAATGGCTTAGCTCATACTTCATACTTACTAAATCATATAACCAATCCGCTTCTTCCAGGAGTTGGTTGAGAAAATGTGTAAAGGTGACTTGCCTAAAGATGATTATCAATGCATGAACAGTCCTCAACCAGCAACTCGTGAGGTCAATGGATCTTCTGCAAGGAATGCCCCACCAAAGACTGCTGAATCTACTAATCCACGCTCAGTGAGATCAAGAAGGACGCCAAATTGGGCACGTTCTCGTACTTCTGACGATGGATATTCAAGGTTTCCCCGTGGAATATTGTCTTTGATAGATTTTTTTTTTAAATCCTTGAAGATCCAGACCTCGTTGATTTCATTATAAAAATATTGTCACTTTTCAGAAACATGAGTTCATTATGCTTTCCTCACCTTGTCTTGTGCTTTTTGTTGTAATTTTTTCTAGCGACTCCAATCTCAGAAGTTTTTCAACTGATTTTAAGAACATGGGACAACGGATATTTGTTTTCATTATCGGTGGTGCAACTCGATCTGAGGTAAAACCTTAAATTTTAATTTCCATCCACTGGCTTTCCATCTAGTGAAGGCTTAGGCCTCTGAAATGGTATATTGTTGATATTCTTCTATGCAGCTTAGGGTTTGTCACAAACTTACATCTAAGTTAAGGAGGGAAGTGGTCCTTGGCACAACTAGTCTGGATGATCCACCTCAATACATCACGGTAATATTACTTCATCCAGGAGTTTTTTGTGATGCGCCTTTTGATTTCGATTTTCTAAGAATTCTCACAATCTTCCTCTCTAGAAAAAAGATGTAGAATAACTCTTTTACATGCTTGCAAAACATTCATCCTAAAATGATCAATCTTGGCATCAGTCACTCAGAGACTTCAGGTTTTTCAAGATAAAACTCCAAGATTCATGAGCTAAAATTTAAGTTTTACATATGATAAGTTGGTCCATTCCAGATTAACCACTTCACTTTTAGTTGTATCTGAATTTTGGATCTACTAAAAAGTCTCATTACAAAGTCATACAAACAAAGCTATTTATTAAAAAAACGTCTGCTTATGATGGCATACAAGCAAAGTTATCCATTAATCTCCGATAGGCCTTCTCCTCATTTCAACATCCAAATTGTTGTAACTGCAATCTGCTGATGAAGCAGCTTTCCAGGCTATAGAGCTTTAAGATTTGCCAAAATTAGGAACTATGGTGATGGCTTACATCTGAAAAATGACTTAATGCATTGCCTTCGTAACACAAATAGTCAAGAGAAATATATCCTCAGTCTGAACTCATTCTTCTCATCTTGTTTTACAGAAACTGAAATTGCTATCAGAGAAAGAGCTTTCAGTAGATAGCCTCAGAATTTAATATGGTATTTGGGATTTGTAAACTACATTTTTGGTTGACACCCGAAAGGTCAGTGAGAAAGCTAACTAATTGTTGTTTTATGTTTTCTTCTCCTTTTTCTTCCATTTGAAGAAACTACTGGATCCCCTGCCCTAAGCCAACTTTCTTCATATTTAAGGGTGCAGGGTGCAATATATACTTAAGGAGCACATTGTTGGTTTCTGATGCTTTTTTAATTGATTTTGAGGGAAGAACTTGATTCATTGCAAAGACAGATCAATTTTTAAAAAGGCTTCATGGTACTGGAATTTACATATGGCAGTTGGATTACTGCTTTTATACTAATCTTGCAGCTTAGGTAGAAGAACCATCTTTGGGATTGGAAAATGATATAGAAACTTACGTCCAACATTCATGAGGCAGTGAAGGAGTTTGAATGCAACTTAGTTTTTTTTGTTTTAAACTTCAAACACAAGCAAGATTGCACTCTTGAATTTTGTAATTGTACTAAATTTAGTTGGTCAAGTTTGTCTCAAGGCATGTGTTTAAGGAAGAAGATTACTTGTATCTGTTTCTTTAATGAATTTTCTGTTTCAATAGACAATCTTTAATGCCTTTGGTCGATGATTGGCTCAACGGGTACCTTCTCAGGTGATCGAACTTAAATTCAATTTGCGTGCCACAATGTTTTAGTTATACAATCCTAACACTACACCTAATACCAATTACATGATATATGTTAGTAAACTGTATTTGTAAAATAATTTTGAAGAAGATAAAATAACGTATAAACAAATATGTAAAAGAAAAAGAACTTAATCCGACCCCACTAAATTCACAGTGTTTCCTTAAGAAACTTAATCCTCACCTAGTACCCGAGGTTGTGGATTATTTCCTCCAGGATAGAACGAATTATACAATGGTGTAGCGGTATTTCAAACCCCAGTATCAATGAACACAATGATCGGTAGCAAATCACACTTACTGTTGCTTTCTTTGTAGTTAAAATAATGTAGAAGAAAGGAGGAGAATTTTCGTATGGAAAATCTGAGAGAGTGGACTACTATTTATAACCCCAACATGTTGAGTTCAAACGAAGAGGTGCAACTCTTCAGAGGTCAGTTACGTAAAACGGTCATAACGTAAATGACCAATTACGCAAATTAAAATGGAAATTCAAATGCAGAGGATATTACTTTTCCATTACAAAAAATGGATATTTAATAATATTACGTTAATTTTTACTATTAACAAATAAATTTGGTCCAAAAAATTAATCAAATCCGAGTGACGATAGAAATCCGAAGCCGAGTGAGCGATGACGGCGGCGCTAGGTTTGCCTTCTTCTTAACTCTTTAAGAGCTAGAAGAAGAGCAATTATATAAATATCCATCAAAAGTCTTTTCCTCCTCCAATATGGGACAATATCTCAAAGAAGGAAACTCAAATATTTCATTTTCCCTCCATTTTCCATTCACCCTCTTTTAAGCTAAAATAAGCTTATAAAACTCAACAATCCCCCACATGAATGGGGAATGGCTATATCACGAAAATATGCATGAAAAACTGTGTGATTCGCAAGCAATGATTAATTGCATCTGGATAAGTAGGTTTCCCTTTGAACTTTCCATAGTGAACTTATATCGGATATACTCGGTCAATCGGTAGATTTGATATCTTTGAACCGTCGAACTTTGGTGTATACCTAGACAACTATAATTCACAATCACCCATAACCGACTTTGTTCTCATTGTTGTGTTCGTTTCAGCCATGAACACCCCCTGGTTTCATAAGTGTGTAGAGAACTGGCCTTACAAAATTCTCCCTGAAGCGGCTAACACTTCACACATACATAGGTGATTCCTAAACGTGTCATCCTGTAGATACACTATTTGATATACCCTATATCAAATTAGAAATCATTAAAAGGCCTTAATGTTTTATCCTTGGTACTGAACATTGTCTCATCACGAGAATGGACCAAAATTTTAGTTGACAATATTGAACCGTCATTAATGACTTTGTTTGATCTCCTTGAACCTAGATCTTGGGATATCAATCTTCTAGGTAGAGTTACTACCACAATGACTTGTCCTCGACCATAGTCTCATTCCCCTCGATGATTTCTCAACTACCTCTCTAGTTAAGCCTTTTGTAGGTGGATCCGACATATTATCACTTGACTTTACGTAGTCAATCGTGATAATTCCTTTAGAGAGTAATTGCCTAACGGTTTTATGTCTTCGTCGTATATGACGAGATTTACCATTATACATAACACTCTCAGCCATTCCAATTGTTGCTTGACTATCGCAATGTATGCATATTGGTACCAACTGTTTGGGCCAAAATGGAATATTTTTCAAGAAATTCCGGAGTCATTTAGCTTCTTCACAGGCTTTATCTAAGGCTATGAACTTAGCCTCCATTATAGAGCGAGCAATACAAGTTTGTTTGGACGACTTCCAAGATACTGCTCCTCCACCAATAGTGAATACATATCCACTTATGGACTTAGAATCAATTGAACCGGTGAAAATTTTGTATCACACTATCCCTCAATCACCGCAGGATATTTACTGTAGTGCAAAGCAAAGTCGTGGGTGTGTTTTAAATATCCTAAAACTCGTTTCATTGCCATCCAATGAGATTGACCTGGATTACTCGTGTATCGACTCAATTTACTTATAGCACAAACTATATCTGGTCATATATAGTTCATGATATACATTAAACATCCCAACATACGAGCATAATCGAATTGTGATATGCTTTGGCCTTTGTTCTTTGCTAGTGCAAGATTCACGTCAATTGGAGTCTTTGCAACTTTAAAATCTAAGTGCTTGAATTTTTCAAGTAATATCTTAATATAATGAGATTGTGACAATGTCAGACCTTGAGGATTCTTATAGATCTTAATACCCAGAATTAAATCAGCAACTCCCAAGTCCTTCATATCAAACTTGCTAGTTCGCATACGCTTAGTCGCATTTATGTTGGTAATGTCATTACTCATTATCAGCATATCATCCACATATAAGCAAACAATGACTACGTGATTTGGAACATTTTTAATGTATACACATTCATCACATTCGTTTATCTTAAAACCATTTGACAACATTGTTTGGTCAAATTTTGCATGCCATTGTTTAAGTGCTTGTTTTAGTCCGTAAAGGGACTTAACAAGTCTACATACCTTCTTTTCTTTACCTGGAACCACAAACCCTTCAGGTTGTTTCATGTAGATTTCTTCCTCCAAATCTCCATCTAAGAAGGCCGTCTTAACGTCCTTTTGATGAATTTCAAGACCATAAACTGCAACTAATGCTACTAACATTCGTATGGACGTAATTCTTGTAACTGGAGAGTATGTATAAAATAGTCAAAAGTTTCTCGTTGTCTATACCCTTTGACCACAAGTCTTGCCTTATATTTATCAATAGTGCCATCATCTTTCATTTTCCTCTTAAAAATCCATTTAGAAGCCAACGGTTTATTTCTAGGAGGAAGATCAACCAATTCCCATGTATAGTTGTTCAATGTGGATTCTATTTCGCTATTGACTGCCTCTTTTCAAAATAATGATTTCGAAAAAGACATAGATTCTTTAAATGTTCGAGGCTCATTTCCCAATAAGAAAGTCACAAAATCTGGTCCAAATGAAGTAGACGTTCTTTGACATTTACTATGTCTTGGATCCTCCTGATTAAATGTACTTTCTTTTGTTTCTTCCCGAGGTCGTTTAGATCCTTCACCAATCGACTATACGGATATATATTTTCAAATAGCTCAACATTATCTGATTCTATAACCGTATTATTATGAATATCGGGATTTTCTGATTTATGAACCAGAAATCGATATGCTTTTCTATTGGTCACATATCCTATGAAACCACAATCAACGGTTTTCGGTCCTACTTTTACCCTTTTGGGTTTAGGAACTTGTACTTTTTCCAAACACCCCCACACTTTGAAATAATTCAAGTTGGGCTTCCTTCATTTTTATTTTTCATATGGAATCGATTGCGTTTTGCTATGGGGTACTCGATTTAGTATGCGGTTAGCCGTAAGAATGGCTTCCCCCCTCCTCCAAGTTTTGTGGCAAACCAGAACTTATCAACAATGGGTTCATCATCTCCTTTAATGAACGATTCTTTCTTTCCGTAATCTTATTGGATTGGGGCGTGTAAGGGGCTATTGTTTGATAAATAATTCCATATTCTAAACATATTTCTTCAAAAGGAGATTTATATTCACCACCCCTATCACTTCTTATCATTTTGATTTTCTTGTTAAGTTGCGTTTCAACTTCATTTTTGTATTGCTTGAATGTGTTTATTGCTTCATCTTTAATATTAAGTAAGTAAATATAGCAATATCGAGTATTATTGTCAATAAAAGTTATGAAATACTTCTTTCCACCGCGAGATGGTATTGACTTCATGTCGCAAATATCTGTGTGAATTAAGTCTAAAGAATTTGAATTCCTTTCAACTGACTTATAAGGATATTTAACATACTGAGATTCCACACACATTTGACATTTTGATTTGTCGCATTCAACTTAGGCAATACTACCAAATTAATCATTCTCCGAAAGGTTTTATAATTGACATGTCCCAAACGTATATGCCATAAATCATTTGACTGAAATAAGTAAGAAGAAGTTGAAGTTTTATTATTCTTAACGACCATTACATTCAGTTTGAAAAAGCCCTCAGTGAGGTAACATTTTCCTACAAACATCTCATTCTTACTTATTACAACCTTATCATATACAAAAACACACTTAAACCCGTTCTTAACAAGAAGTCCAGCAGAGACTAAGTTCTTCCTAATATCTAGAACATGAAGGACGTTGTTCAAAGTCACCACCTTGCCAGAAGTCATTTTCAGAAATATCATGCCACATCCTTCAATTTTGGTCGTTGCAGAATTTTTCATAGAAAGCGTCTCTTCTGGTCCAATGGGAGCATATGTAGCAAACGCTTCTCTAACAGCACAAACATAGCGAGTGGCTCCCGAATCAATCCATCACTCCTTATGATTTCCTACCAGGTTGCATTTAGAAAGCATAACACACAAGTCATCAACAGCTTCGTGCTTTTCAACCATGTTTGCTTGACCCTTCTTCTTGTCTTTCTTTGGAGCACGACAATCTGCAGATTTGTGTCCAGCTTTCCCACAGTTGTAGCAGTTTCCGTTGAACCGCTTCTTTCTTTGGTTGCTTTTCGGTCCAGAAGTCTTCTTCCTCTTTCTATTATTTTGAGGAGTATCCTCAACAATGTTTGCTCCCATTATTGTTGAGTTTTCACGGCCTTTTTTTCTAGCAGCTTTATTGTCCTCTTCGATTCTCAACCGAACAATGAGATTTTCAAGCGACATCTCTTTGCGTTTGTGTTTTAAGTAGTTTTTGAAGTCCTTCCACAAAGGAGACAATTTCTCAATCATCACTGCAACTTGGAACGCTTCATCAATGACTTTTAATTCCTGGACTTGGGTAATAACAGACTTGCTATCTACCATTGTGTAGTCCAAAAATTTAGCGGCAATAAATTTCT